CGATTTCTACGATTTATTCACCCCGCAAAAGAAGTCTGGTGGAGACTACGGGGAAGGGCGGGGCGCCTGGCTAAACCACTTATCCGCACCCTAACGAGGTGCTTACACGGCCGCCTTCTGACGAGCCGCGCACATCGGGAGTTTGTTTAGACCGTGTAGCTGTTTAGGGCCCGATATTGGACGGGCGGCTTTCACCACATGTGGCGCACAGATCATCAGCACACAGGAAAAAAAACTCTCCAAGTCCAAGCGACCGCACATGACATACTACAACCAAGGAGGTTAAATACAGGTTATTTAACCTCCTTGCTACACCTGTGCTGTCATCCGACTACACAGGCAAACAAGACATGACTCGACATTGGAACTTATTTCCGATACACCTTTTTGTCACGTATGATGTTAGCCCACCTATTAATTAGATGATACCAGAGAAAAAGACTTGACTATAAAATAAGCGCCAGCCTAGTCCTTTGCAAGGCATCTCATTTTCTTCCTGCTGACAAGGTGCCAGAAAATAGTGCATGTAGCGCAAGTCAGTCTCCGGGCGCGTCGCGCTAGCCTCTGCCAGGCTTTAGAAGCGGCTGGAAACAGTAGAAATAGGCCAAATAGACAGATAACACGCCAGGGGAGTTGACAAGATGTACTCCTTTAGCGGACCAACTCCCCCGGCATGTTATCAGTTGGCCAATTTCTACCCTTTCCAGGCGCCCCTGAAGCCTGGTAGAGGCTATCGCTGTGCCCAAGTCGGCCAGACTGTGATGAGAGGTGACGGGGAACTGTGTCTGTGTCCATTTGACGCAACATTTGCAGCCGCGCAGGGGGCTCTGGTCAGCCTTTCTATGTCTTCCCCTGCTAGGTCTCTGCATCTAATATATACCCTGCCATGGTCGTTCAGACCAACTACATTGGAACTACCACGTGTCTCCAGTGTATCCAGAACCGTACCTGGGGCAAATCTACGTTCTTGGATACGCGGAGAATATATCCAGAAATCCTCACGTTTAGACACAGAGCTAGTGAAACACGGTTCTGGATACAGTAAGTCCCGACCAGGTTATGTGAAGACCCACAGTCACAGTATGAAACACGCAACCATTTACACCATAGGCATATGCGCTCTTGTCCAGGTATAGCCTGGACGCCTGACCCGTAATATCCCAGTTTGCATGGGATATTACTTTGGGCCCAGTGTGCTATGGCATCCAGGCTAGTCCAGGCACTCTGTGACGTGACTGCGCTCGTGCCCAGGTTAACCCAGGACGTGACTGCGCTCGTGCCCAGGTTAACCCAGGACGGGTGTGCTGACGTCACGGTGACGTCAGGAACAGACGAGAAGAGTTTGCCTCAGCTGTTTCTGATATCGTCCTGTTGATGGAACAAGGGCAACTCTGAGACTGGCTGTCTGATCATTTCTGTCCTGACAAAATCAAAGCCTAACAACTTTGCCTACAACGGCACTGATGCACATGAAGTTAAAGTACAGATGTCGCAAGATGTACTGGCAGAACTTTACCCCATTTTGGAAAGCTATCCGATTCTCTTCCTTTTTACTCTCGAGCATAGGCCTCGACAATCAAACCGCAAGTTTATTCGATCTCAGTCGAGTGAACAGCCGGAAGACAGACTACATTAGAGATGCCTTTAGTCTCATTGATAACTGGGCAGCACGTAACGGAAACCATAGTTACCTCAGCTCTCTGCGTCTGCTTGTATTTCAGCTGTATTGAGTCCTGATACGTGAAATGTAGGTGAAGAAGGGTTGTCCTGTGTGAGGCCAGGGGGGTAGAGAATCTTGTAGATATTTTCTAACCTCCTTGCTTTATGGAATTCCATTAAAGATATGTCACATGGAATGAAATATTCCGTCTTTCAGCTTGCGAAAGGTCACCCACATTCCCCCGGGGCTTTATATTGATATGTGCATTACTAAATGTAACTATAACCAAGGAGCGTAACAATACGTCCGTGAAATCAAACTTCTATGTTTTCCTCTGATAACGGAGATGAAAGATGTTTTTCCTTTATAACTTGAACCAACATTTTCGTTGGGATATTATGTATTTTGTAAGAATTGTATGAAAAAGCTAAAGAATAATTATTTGAAGTTCATCTATTTATTGTCTGTGTAAAAAGACGAAGAAATCCTTGAGATTTTATATCGTGATATAATAATAAATAAAAATGTTATCTGAGTTTTGTGGGTGTTTGAGTTGCTCTTGTACGTTTCTTTCCATTGATATTTGTCTTCCAGTCTATTCCTTAACATGGTGGCGATGCAGCAACTATATCTTTCATTTTGACTGTAAAAATATTGCTTCAAAAAGACTTGCACTTGATGCAAACACGTGTACGTCTAATCCTCAGTTAAGGGGAAAATGACGTTAAAATTGGATT